TCTGAGCGTGTCCGATGACGTTACGCCAATTTGTACTCACATCTGAGTCTGTTTTCATGCTGGATCGCCAGGCGTGTTTTCCTTTTCTATTTTGCTTCTTTGTCAAGGGTGGGTTTGTTTGGGCGTACTGCACACCCTCTCCTTCAAGAACATTGCCCTTTTCTCAGTGGCAAGATGCAGTTTGGCCTTTGCATGCTCCTGAGTTTTGTGGACTACTATTTAGCTGCGCAGCTTCAAGGAAAGCACTCCTGACTCCTAACATCTCCTAAACAGTAGCAAGAGCCATTATTGAAACGTACCACAAGGGAAGATTGGAATCGTCACAGCAACTGAACGCCAACATCGCGCTGACCCAAGCCTTCTCGATGTTTCCACCTTGAGCCAGGCTGAAAACCATGGACTCCCTGAAGCAGCTTTACAACCTTGCGATGGATGCGCCACACGGCCGCATTGACGGCGGATTTTGTCGCTGCTGCGGCGCATGTGGACACCACAAGAGCTCCATCGAACTACCTGAGGCCACCCTGGACAAGCTGACAAGACTGTGTATTTGAAACGAGGTACCAAACTTGTAAGGAACCATTCTTCGCAGTTTACATTCGGACTGTCACTGTCACTTTGGAGCACCACAACTTGCCCGAGGCACCACAACTTGCGAACTGAGACTCATACCGACACTGAGCCCCGCTTTAATGAGCGTGCGGGGCCCGGTGTAGACCATGTTGTCTTCTGAGATGGCAACACTTTGACAGGACATGAACATGTTACCAAGCCGGAAGTTCTCACATTGCGGCGGGCTAGCATCATGATGCATCATTGCTGGTTTGTTGATACAGCTGGCCTTGTAACCTGCACAATGCGATGCATAAGCAGGTGTCAAATCGCATCATCATTGACATAAATACTCAAGAATTGCACATACGATCTCAATTCAATCATGTTTTTGATCAAACCTGTTTGATAAAGTGCGACGAGCAAGTGTAGATACTGAATCTGGGAGTTCCGTCTTGGTGCTGAGCTCATCCTTGTGAAGTTTCTCTACAGTCACCAAGGTCTGTTCTGGCTTGGCCTCTTGCTAAGGTCTAGTTCTTTCCCTGAAAGACTGCCCTGCTTGCCTCGTAGTGGACGACGAGCTAAACATCCTGCCGTTGTCGAAGCATGCCAAGGCACAACCGCGACAAGACATGTTACAGTAAACATCTCTAAATGTCGTGTGGGTCTTCACGAGGTTTGAAGGAAGCCTGTGGACAAAGACGCTTGATGTGGAAAAACAGCCTTTGCGACAGCGCGAGCGCATGTATTTTGCTGGCTGCGCATGGAGCAGGCGGTTCGGCCCATGGAGGCTGGCGGGATGATCAAGAGGAAGTTCTTGAACATGCTCAAGAGGAAGCCCGAAAACAAGAGATGTTTCAATAACCTGTTGCGGTTTTTTCTCGATGGCAACAAGCACCTTGTTGAAGAGGTTCACACACTGAGAGGCCTGTGGGAACGAGACACACTGCCTCGCAGGTCGATGAAGAGATACAAGCTGGAGAAAGGCCAAAGACTTCCAATGAGAGGTGTCTCTTGGCGTGTCACAGCGCCACAACTGTCCTCAAGCTCATTATGATGTTGACTCCGAGTCCTACAGGAATAGAACATCATGCAAAACTGACAGAAAATTTTTCGGAACTCACGTTCTAGGGAGAAGAATACAAAGCATGGAAAGGCGTTCTGGTAACCGATGTGTGTTTCACGTCGTCCATGGCTGTCAAGCTAGTCAGCGCTTGTTGGGGTTTTCGCCAGGGAGCTGGACGAGCTCAAGGAAACCACGGTGCCTTGGTCCGTTGGGTCCGTTTGGGTCCCGTTGGTCGTCACCGTGAGCCGTTTTGGGGAGAAGAAAGCCAAGACGTCTATCGTGTGGTCAACACGACCTGTCCATGTCCAATTTGTTGATTTGGGGTCTATGAATTTCTGGTGACGTTTTGGAACCTGTTTGGGGCTAAGGCGGACACACAGCCCATCGGCCCCATTGTGAATGTGTCCAAGACCTTGGACCAGGCGACGAGCAGCTCATCGGTCCTTGACATGGGATTTTAACGTTTTACATGTCCTTAAGAGCAACTCTTCGGATGATCCCACCACTCGGACAATGTGATTAACCGTGTTCATTTTTTTCCGGTCCGCCTGCATAGAGGGTAGGGAAGCTTTGCGGATTCTTCTAGGCTTTTAAACATATGATGTGTATATAAATATTATACTTGTATATTTATACACACTATATAGTGACGGACTCATATTTAGAACCCCTTGATTTTTCCAAATGATGCAATTTCCACACTAAGAACCCTTTGGACCTGTGAATACTTACAGTAGAACCATCCCCGAATTGCAGGCCAAGCATACTTAGAACCCCCAAAATAATACCAGGTTCATAAGTATGAGTCCGTCACTATATATGTAATATATGTCATATACATATATATATATACATCATGCGAGCAGGAGTATCAGCACCACTGCCTATATAGGGATCTTTGGTGCCTTGTGTTTTGCTTGAGTCATTGCAATCCTGTAAATAAAACACTCCTGAAATTTTGGCCACAGCTTCTTGAGCATACCCTGCTCCATGTGCCGTGCTCACACGACCTAGTTTCCTTAGATTCCTTAGATCACGATTTATGTGGTTCCAAGTGTAAGTGCCACACTAAGAACCTCCTTCCATTGCAGGCACTTTTCCAACTGCTCAGGGCCCAGGGTTCTAAGATGTTCTAAGTATGCCTGGAGTTTCTAAGTGTAGTACGCTTAGAACCACTTGTGCAGGCGTTTTTGTTGTTTCGATTTTTTCAAAAAGGGGTTCTAAGTAAGTAAAAGTCCGTCACTATACAGTAGATATATATATATATATAGAGATATTGATAGATTCTTGACGTGCATTTGCTGCTTCCCTGCAGTTCGAGTATGTACAATGTTGTATCTGTGAATTGAGGTCTAATCAAAGGGAAACTGCAGAAACCCATCAGAAACCTTTGCAGGATCCCACCAAGAATTTGGGTTTGAAAGACACCCACCACAGGGCTCGTCTCGCAGGCCAAAGCTGTCATGAGTTTTGTCGACGCCATCTCTGAAAAGACCCTCAACCGGACGACTCTTGGCGGGATGATCCCCGAGAGACTTGTTGGGCAAAATGTGCGCCTAAGTTCCTACTCACAGCCTGTCGCTCAAGCTTGCTGCAAACACCGTTGGCGAGACTCCTAAACCATCCTTAACCATCCTTAGCCCTATTACTGTGTATACTGCCTTCATATCCAAAAGTCAAGATTGCAAGCAGCTGTGAAGCAGCTTGTGTGCACAGCCTGTGAGAATTGCCCTACAGGACCCAAAGCAGCACATCGCACATGTCATTGCTTTTGTTGATGTGTGGACATTCCTCCCAGGTCATAGCCGTCTCCTATCATGTCAGGTGTTGCCTTGTTGAGTATTCCTGGCACAGAGAGGTCACATGTTGCGGGGACCAACAGAGAGGTCCAACTAGTCACGTGTCCCGTCTGAATTGCCAACCTTGGAACAGTGAGACGGCTCGTCTCCGTTACGTTTGAGGATGGCCCTGACTGCAGCCCGTGGCCGCGGCAAGCCTGGTGCCAAGTCCGGAAGAGCTGGATTTTTAGACAGTCTAAACATCGAATTATTACTGTATATATAGGTTATTATGCGAACAAATAGGTAACATGACTTCAAATCCTTGGAAGATGCTACTTGTTTGTGCAAGCAACCGACATCCATCTTTGAAGGTACACCTAGGAGAAGTGGATTTCCAACGTCAAGTCCTTTGTTTCAGAGTCCTCGAGGTCGGCAGCATTGGGCTTAGCCGTGTCTGCCGCTGTGGCCTATGGCTATTCCAACATTTTCGTGACGGTCCGCTGCTTGGGGCACAGCAGGATGTTCTCCACTGTATCTCCCAACTTATGGGGTTCGATCATCTCCTCCTCCGGCCATACTCAGTTGAATTATGTAATTTGCTGACACATGTGCACACAAAATGCCAACAAAGCTGCTCTCGTCGAGGCATTTTTTCTGGAACGTCTTGTGTGTGTTAAAAGATGCCAGTCCTACCTTTCAGCGACCCGAACGCGCCCTGGCGGAGCCGTTTATGGACTGCCACCGAGGCACCTTCGCCCGAGAATCTCAGCACTGTGTTTGAGTTCATTTTGAAGGGCTTCGATGCCTTGGGGATGAAGGAGTAGCATGAGCTTAATTTGAATCCCTGTAGCTTTGATTCTATAGTAGTGGCTTAACCACCTTTCTTCACCAAATGACATACATTGATGGCTTTAATTGGCTTTAACTTTGACTCTGTGCTTTTTGGCAAGATGTAATTATAGAAACAATACTTACTCCAAGAGTAATCTGTGACAGTCGTCGCAGGAGCATCAGGAATACGAGCTGGTGCAAGCTGAGAATCCTGATCTGAACAAGGTGAAAACTCCAGCGTTCAATACGAACTGATACTTGCCGTGAACAAACACTTTCGCTCTCGTTTGTCTAAAGGAATTTCGAGCAACTGGAATTGTGCTATGCTGCTTCGCCATCGGCTGACTTCCAATATCCGATGGACTGTGTGTTTTCGAAGGCGCTGGTCCGCGTCAACATTTTCAAGGACGCTTCTTACTACAGCTTGTTGCCGTTCCAGGTTATACAGGTTGTTACATGCGCTCATTTGCAGAACAGCACTAGCTTGAGGAGAAAACTGGGAAAACCTTTGATTCTGTCAGGCGTTCGCTCATGTCCCGTTGCTGTCGCGGTTGCTGTACCAATTCCGGCGCCGTCCATGAAACCGGCAGTGCAGGACCATCGCCAGACAGTGCAGTACATCAATCCCTCGGACTGGCAGCACTTGGCCCAGGACCCGAGAGTCGAGAGTCGAGAGTCCACGTGGAGAGACACAGTCCACTCAGTCCGGATCGCAGGAGCATCAGTCAATGACACAGTTCGTTCATTAGGAGCCTCCTCATCTTCTGTAATTAATGTCTCAAACCCTAACCATTAGTTGATCATGGATGGCCTTTTGAATATGGTTTGTTGATTAGTAGAGGGGATACAAACCCCGAAGTGAACAACAAATTGCATAATGTGACAAATCGACGTGTCGCAAAAGGACCTACCTCATGGGCCCGATTCTCATGTAAGCACCACTTTCCAGCTTGATCATACACGTGCAGGGGGAAACTGGCCGTGATGAGCCATGCACCACAGGCCGAGCTGCTGATTGTGGACGAAGCCGCGGCCATTCCGCTGCCCATCGTCAAGAAGCTCTTGGGGCCGGTAGACAGCAGCGCAGGGTGAATTCTTGAACTAAAAGCTAACCAGACCTCCCAAATCCAATTGGTAAGAGGATAATATTCCAAGAATGGCACTGGAGGCCCTCAAGTTTCTGGCAATTAAAGGTCGTTAAGGGAAAAAAATACCTAGGATATATGATCTGTATATATATTATATATAGCACATTGTAACACAAGAAGCACAGCCATGCTGAGGTTCCTTGCACATAAAAATTCAGTGGCGGAAGCTTTTGCGATTTGAGATAGAAGACCCTGAAGTCTCCTTAGCGGCATACAGAAAGCTATAGTCAATATTACTGGTGGTTGGATTGATATCATGGCGCCTCTAACTCAATTGATTCTTGGCTTGACACACACGTGGATGGAGTTAGCGAAGTTTGCTCCTCGAGAGATCGTGCTCATCGCACTGGTTTGCACAAGTTTGCTCGGCAACAGACGACGCTGTCAGCAATCAGCCGAGCTTTGGTGCCAGGCCATATTTGGTGCTGTTGGCTTCGACTGTCAACGGCTACGAAGGACCACACCTATGATGTTGAATTGCAAAGCCATGCAAAGCCATTGATGCCAGGTTTAGCAGCTTGACTCCTCACACTTGCAAATGTTTGGCTTTTTGTGCTGATCTCACAAGGGCCCAATCGTGTGTACAGTGTACACCTTCACGCTTGCAAATCACTCGTGTTGTCCTTTGCAGAAAAGCAACCAGGTTTGTTCGGATCTTTTGTTCCAGTGACTGTTCTCTTCTGAAGGAACTGGGAGAGCGCTCTCACTTAAGCTCATTGAGGCGCCTGCAACTTCAGTTCCAACACAAAACCTGCAGTGTTCTCTTCAGAAAAAGAGTCTCGAGTGCAAAAACACCGATTTGTGCAAATGTTTGGAAACATGCCATGCAAATACAAAGAGCGATTTTCGCAACCAGTCACCCCAAGATGCAATGTCGAAGACGGGATCCAATTTGCAGGTGTTTGTTTGTTCGGGTGTTTGCGGAGTTTTTTTGGGTTCATGTTTTCCGACGAAGTAAGAGGTTTCCGACTAAGTTAGGCTTCCTCAAATTCTTCAGACTGCAACTGATGACAATTCACCATTCTCCGATGCGCAGGACCTTAAGAAGAAGAAAGGTGCAGGAAAAACAGGCTCTGTGGGCGATCGCACCATGCGGGAGCTGTCCCTTGAGGAGCCTCACTGGAGATGCTTCTATCCTTTTGTTTCGTGGCTAGACTGGATTCAGAGACGCACAGGCGGAGGTTTGGATGGACATCACATGATATCACTATATAATACTAATTGGTATATTGGTTATATAACTGATTTAACTGATCCAAAACTCGTTTGGATGTCGAAACCGGTTGAAACTGATCGGCCACAACTCGTGGTGTTTTCAAACGAAAGCTGGTTCCTTCGACCTCCCAGGAGCCAATCCGATATGCACCGGGTGATCCTATCGAGGCGACTTTTGCTCGTGCGACATGTCCAGTTCAAATTGAAATAGTTCATTTGACCTTTGAGCGGCTTCAATTCAACCATCCGTTGCGAACAACGGGGAGATGCTCCTCAGTGCAGGAAGGAAGCAGCCCAGCCTGACATCGCCTGACCAAGGCCTGGCTTTGTCAACTACTTTGTTTAGATGCGGCGCAGGCGAAGGGAGTCATTTGTGTTGATGTTTTGTTTTGTTTTTTTTTGTGTGTGTGTGTGTCAGTCAAGTTGATTGAGTTGTTTGTCCACAAAGTTTCCACACTAGTGCATTGTGCTTAGTACTGGTAATACTTGCTTGAAACAACATATGTGTTTTTGCGTGAGAGGTGCCAAAGTTGCAGCTGAATACTTTGCCGCTCCCAGCGCAGCAGCTGGGTTTGCACGTTGCAGACGGCGCTGGCGCATGACGATAAATTCTCAGTGGGCCAGGATTTCTGGCCGTTCAGAATTGTGGTCTTTTTGATGGTCTTATGTTGCGAAGTGTTTTAGTTGGTCGTACAAAGCTAGTGGAGAGAATGATTTGTGCCCCTTTAGTACGTGGAAGATCTCAGAGACTGTGTTTGACCCAACATTACTACTTACAGTGAAGAGAAGTTTTGAGTACCTGCGTCAACTTCAGGTGCAGCCTTTTCTTGGTGAACAGAGATGCACTCTTCTCTTATCATGTGAAGTCCCCAGCTTCGACCAACTGCGCCCACTGGACTTGTGCGGAGTCTTTTTGCTGCTCGGAGTGTGACTGGTGCCGTTCACTGCGATGTGAGACTGGCGAGGAAGCATCTGAGAAGTTCCTTTTCAAGATGATGTCACTCTTCGTGTCAAGCCAGGCACCTAGTCATACCGACTAGGTCCTAGTCACTAGTCACTTGAACGGACATGACATATCAATTCAATATGATGAAGTTATATACAGTCAGCTTCTTTTTGGGGCTATGAGCAGAGAAGCAGCTCGAGGCCACTACAAGAACTCGCCCAATGACTTGCTCCTCATGGCAGATGCACCGGCCCATCATTTGTTGGTCCTGTCAGCATCTTAAGTCAGCATTCTTTGTTCTTCCTGCAGAATTTGATGGAGACGGTCCTGGATTGCAAGAAAGTATCGTTTTTAGCAACTGTTAACTGATAGGTGTGCAGAGGCCTTTTGAAACGGAGGAGGGCAAACATCAAGAAAATAACTGACCTAACTGAGCTGCCCCTGGTGAGGTTGCCGCCTATTGATGAAGATTCAGAGCAAGCGGAACTTCCAGAAGTCCTTGTTGCCATCCAGCAACTGAGCTGCAGCTCAGCTGTTGGATGCACCATTGAGACGAAAGGCAACAGGGCAACAACTCTTTAAGCAGAAACGACCATCGGCTGCGGATTGTTCTTCTTGCATTGTTGATCCTGACCCCACAAGCACTTGTGTTGACCGCTCTCTCAATCGATTACGTTGGTCCGTTGACAGGATTTGCGTTGAGGGCGCCCTCTCGCAAGAGACAGTCAAGGCACGGACTGACGTGCCGGACGATCCCATGCCGAACGATGGGCCATGTGGCCTTGGAAAGGATTGAAACACTTTGCCCAGGAAATTTTGAGTTTCCAAACGAGATTTCTACTTCTGTAAGATGAGTGTTGTAGGATTTGTATGTTCAATATGAATCAATATGGTTGACCTTCCAGCAGTTTCATGTCATTTGTCATTGCACCTTGGTGATTTTCGAGGCTTCTTTGAAACGGGGCTTGCGACCCTCCGGAGACCTTATCCCATGGACCTTGACACAGCACTTTTTGCACGACAGTGGCCTGGCTGCCAGGCCTTGCGAATGAACAGGTGAAATAGCAAGCATTTCAAACAGTCAAAGAGTCAAACGCCAAGATCAGGACATGTCAACAACGTGAGAAATTAGGCTTACATGCAACCACCCTTGTACTGGCAGATATAGACGTGTGCTGGATAATTTTTGTTGCCCTAATTGATCGTTCATGGACTGTCCTGGTTTGATACTTGGGGCCACCTCTATATTTTTACTGTGGTACTGGGTACAGATTAGCTCATTAATGGTACCGCCACAAGGTTGCCACTGTTTACGTGACAAAAAAGGTATACATCTTCATGGCATGCATCATGTAATTATGGTTCATTTGTAACTTAACCCCTGGACTGAATTCGATGATTAGTACCCTTGTCCTGTGAGCGTATATGATCATTTAACTTTTACAATAGATATAGATCACGTTTTTTGACAGGCGACTGGTATCTCAACCATAGCAGTAGACGAATTCATGAGGCTGCCAGACGAACGAATCCCTTTAACGAGGAATATGGAATAGTATGGCAATGGATATGAGCCACAAAAGTGTTTGCGTACTTCATTTGAACAGGTTTAAACCATGGTTTTGATGTTTGGTTTGATCCACCCTAAAAATGGGTGCCGAAGGACAGGACGCAAACAGTTTCTTGAAATCCAATCTGAGAACTGAAAGCTCATGTGGCATGTGATGAAGATTCGGAAAAAGGGCTCAACAATCGTAAAACAGGATTCAGGACAAGCTGACCAGTCAAGGGGGCACTCTTTGTGCCTGCGTGCGAAAACCCCAGGCTTTGGGCAGCTCAGTGGCGTTCGTGTGGTGCGCATCGCGACACATCCTTCCCTCCAGCGAAAAGGCAGGTTGGTTTACTTTGCTACTACCGTAGTAGCTTCTTGTTACAACCAGCTACCAGTAGCGCCCTGCTACTTGCTACTAGTAGCTTCTTGCTACTAGTAATGCCAGGAGCTACGTTCGTAGCGATACCCTTGCCTTTCATTGCTTGGACCACTTGGATTCAGATTTGCCAAGCAATCCAGCGGAGTCGCAGAGTCGCCATGCGTCCTTTCACAATCTCAAGGACCCAAGGATCCAGCTTGGTGTGTTTCTGCTTCGATCCTTGGGAGGCTATGCTTATGGTGCTTATGGTGCTTATTAGTGTGTTTTTGTCCATTTCTGGTCTCTTGCTTCGGAGGCTATGCTTCGGAAGCGCTGAAGCAAATGATTGCTTTGCTGACATGCTTGAGCCTGGCAATCCCGCACCCCACCCAAATTGAGCAAAGAGACTCGAGTGACTGGTTGAACGTTTAATCAATGTCCAATCAATGTTTTGCTTGCAGGTATGGCTTGATTGGCGGATCTACAGTCGGTAATTGACAGGGCATTTGCTTTTAAGTAATTCACATGGTTAATTTTTATTATGTTAATTCAAATCTTGTCTTGAAGCGCCAGGCGTGGTTCGAACAGAAGTCGCGTGGCGGGGATTCTTTTGCCAAGCCGTGCGGGCCAGAGCTGTGGAAAGTTCACCGCTTGTGACAGGAATCCAACGGCTAACCAAGTGTTCTCCACTGAAGCTCTCTATATGCATTTACGGAGAGGTCGAAATTGAACAGCATTTGATGGAAATTGGAACCACTTAAATATATATATATATATATATCATTGCCTTTTCGATGATCTTGAGCTACAAGCCTCAGGAAAAGCTCCAAGAAGCAGGAGTCCAAGTCAGGCCAAAGGACATCGTGAACAGAGCGAAGTCTTTAATTGCCTCCTTTTTCTGACACGACATCGTCGCTGATTTCAAACAATGCCAATCTTTTCTTGTGGTGTATGTAGCTTTGCTGCCGGTAAATATACGTTGAGCGGAATCCGAGTCAACCGGTTGCTGCAGACTGAAGTAGATAAAGGACATCCCGAGTGGTACGGCCCTCCTGCACATGACATGGAGAAAAGCGAGACCTTTCTTGCAGACAAGTCCGGGAGGGATGCCTATTGCCATTTTGTCATGGACCTAGGGACAGAGAGATGGTGATGTTCCTCCTATTGCTTCGCATGTGTGATCTAGTGATGCGGCCACAGACGTTGTTGTTGGAAAGCGATTGTTTGCCAGGCACAACTTTGCATGAGGAGGCCAGTTCTGCTGCTTTGGGGTCAGGTTTCGGTAGCATGATGCTGAGGTGTTTTGCATTGCATGACCAGACAGAGGAGACAACATGTGGGTTAAAGTGAGATACATGGCCGTTTGTCCAAGATGCTGACAGGCTGTGAGAGGATTAGAAGACACACTCGTCTCCAATATGTCGTCTTTGGTCGCACACCAACAGGAACTGGCTCCTCGAGAAGTGCCTCCGCTCCTAGAGGCGGTGTCAGAGGTGCCCCCTCCCTATGAACTGGACTACGTCTGAGCCATAGTTCATCATGGCAGTTCTGATGCTCGGATCAACTGAACCTGAAGCAAACACTGTTTCACATCATGCAGCCGCAATGACCTGAGTCCATTGCGGTTTGAGGTAGGAACTTCCTTTGGACTCACATTGGAGCTCTTTGAGCCGCTGGGCGAATGTTGAAGGACTTAGGGAAGCGAAGTTGCATTTGTTGTATCAGTCAAAACCGTTTAGTACAGGGGATGACTCGGATGACCTGATATTTTTTTTGAAGGCAAGGTGTTCTTTTCAAACCTGTTCCATCGCAGCTCAATAAATGTACTTTAGAATACTTTAGATATCTCTCGCTTATTGCGAGGGGCTGAGGCACTTGAGTCATTCAGAAACTCACGCCGTTGGCATCTTTGGAGCACTCTTCGAGTCCCACCGCGTTGCCGCGGCTCAAGGTTTTGGAGAAGAGCTGGCTTCAGACCGGTCTATTTGTGGTGTCCCAAGACAGGTCCAATCATTTTAGAACAAAGTCTTGTGCCAAAACACCTTTGGAGACAGGCCTCCGATTGTTTGGACATTGCGTATTTGTGGATGTTGATGATGCTGGCTTCAAGATTCAAGACATTGGCGATCAGGTCAGGTTGACAAGGTTGTACTGCTACTGGCGGATGACGAGCGGACCAGGTTATTGAGAAATTTGGTGTATCGCTGTACTGTTTCTTTTGTACGTCCACTGATGATTTCCTTGAACCATACAAATATGGAACAATGATGCAATGCACTTTTGGAAATCAGAGGCGGCAGCAGCCACATGCAGGGACAGGCAAGCTTGCCTTGGTTTGGGTTCGAAGAGAGGTGAAGAGAGACAAACCTAGGAATTTGTGCTTGCTTGGGGCAGCCAGCATGCATGAAGAGAGGAACAAATTAGCTTGCCATCAAGAGTGAAGCTTGCTCTACATATTCCGGGAGTCGTGATGATTTGACAAGGATTGACAAGGTGATTTAAAAGGATATATATAAGCAAATGAAATGAACGAATTACCACGAAGCCTCAAGAGCTACCCACCTTTTCGCGCGTGGAATGGACCGGTGCGACGTCACGCCCAGGCGAGCACTCCAGCATCCTGGTCCGCAGCTTGCAGCCTTTGGAGGGAGAGCCTCGGGCGGCTCCAGCCAGGGCCTATGGGATCCGGGCCGATGGGGGCGGCTCCAGCTGATGTATCACTTAGTTTTCACTCAAGTTCAGAGTATAAAATCCTTGAGACTGAATAACTGTACACATCTGTACACATGTGAATGGAATCTGAGCTAAGCATAGCATCAGCATCATATCGAATCCTTTCGTGAAGTTGAATTTGTAGTACTTCTGTGTGGACACAAATGTGCAGTACTTCTAGTCGTCGACCGTCGACGTCATCAAGGGCTTTGAACGCCAAATTGAATCAATTCGATGTCCTGATGAGATTCTGGACCACTTTGTGGCGGATTTCCGACTGCGCTTCTTGCGGCTACTGCAAGGGTGTGGCCACCCAGCCGGAGCACCGGAGCCAGTTCGTCAACTCTTGAAGAATCATAGAAGCGCCAGCTGTGTCCGGCTTTGTGGTCGAAAGAGGCGAAGAGTTTTTGATTTTGTTTCGTGTGGAACAGATGTGAAAACGGAATCTGAGGCCTTTTGCCAAGCAACCAACTCGGCTAGCACTCTCTGTGGTTGATCCTCTTCCTGCTGATGCTGGAAAGCTTAGCTTGGCCGTGATCATTCCAGTGGGGTACAAGTAAATGTTGTGGATCATCATGAGCCTTGAAACGGGGAACAAGAAAGATCAAGAAAGAACACATGTTTCATGCACATGACCATCAACGACCATCAATGACCTGTTGACCAAACAAAGCTTCGTTGTTACAGCTAGCCATTTCGATGTTGCGGACAGATTGCTGAGACTGCTCGAGACTGTTGGGTGTGAAAGGTTGTTTTTCATTACACTCGCCGGTTAGGGATTCTCAATGATTTTTGCATTCCATTTAGGAACATTTGTAGTACAAAAGGGCTACCTATGACCCAGCCAGTTGGAGCCGAAGACATGCGATGTTTGAGCACGCTCAATGGCCAAATGGCACTCAACAGTGTCACTCACCGTCAATGACACAATTCCTGGTGGTAAGTTCACCCAAGGCTGCAGCAGCTCGTGAGGAGAACGAGGAAAATGAGTGGAGCTCATAGCTGGATCGATCGTCGCCAGCGAGTATGTTGTACTAGTAGTGATGCCATGTGATGCCCTTGTTTCTGGTCCTTGGCCGGTGAAGTTCTTGAGCCCAGAGTTGCGAGCTTCATGATCCCTCTAAGGTCCACGGTGGAAAGTCAGGAGCCCCTCACTGCTGCAAGCCTCTTGCAGTTCTTGTCGCGTGATGATATCCACAGGCACAATGAAAAAAACATAAAAAAGCATTGACAAAGGGCGCCAGCAAATCTGGAGTTCTTTGAATTGACCATGTTGACCATTGAATTTGTCCGCCAGCAAATCTGATTACAAGATCAATCGTCAAAATGGTCAGACATTCTTCCTCATCCCCAACTCTGCACAGGCTGGAACAATATGGCCGGAACCTGGTGGAATACGGACTGGTTCTTGATATCGTGTGCCACCTGGCATGCATTGATGGCTTGAGATGCTGGCTACTTCTTCTCCCACTAGTGACATGTTCAATATGGAATGCCATGAGGCAACTGAAACTTGAACATCTCTAGCACATGTCCTCAAGCCAGTTGAATGGCTTGCCAACCATTCTTGCTCTTCGCCGTTCGCCTTGTCCAATGGCAGGCCAGCGTTGGCTACCTTGTATCTCTCAAGACGAATGCCCTCAGTGCGGCTGTCAACTTTGCAGAGCAGCCTGGATGAACAGGAGTCGCATGGAGTCGCATATATTGCAGGTTGATCGTTTGTTTGATAGATAGGGGGAAAGAATGATTGACATGTCTCATAGATGGTCTCATAGATGGTCTATGGTTTGCCATTTTGGATAATCTAAGGGATTATGATTTGGAACTTGAGAATCCAACACATCCAATGGATGCATGATGGACACATCCAATGGTTCCCCACAACTGGGCGAACATCCAGCCAAGCATCGTCAAAACAGCCAACTGAGCTGTGTTGGGGAGAGAAAAGGAAAGGAAAAAAAGGGACAATGTCTAAAGATTGAAGGAAACAATAGACGGTCCCAACCAAACTACGTAGGAAGAAAGCTAGGAAGTTAGGTCTTCCCAATAATGTCTTTCTTTGTAAGCCATAAAGTTTACCGAAGAAAGCTTAGGAAGGTAAAAGAACCAGACGCCGTTTTTGACGTCTCGTTTTCTTTGTTTTGCGGCTCGGAGGCGGTCTGTGTGGTGAAAAGCGGTCAGTTTTTGGAGTTGAGCTGAACATAGATTGACAATGGAAGCACTGTACTAACTTGTTTCTCTTCTCCGACTACTGTTTACTTGTTTTTGGAGTTTGTTTAGTAAAACGTTATGTGGTGGAGTGAAGGACCCTTTGATTTGAGTGATCTGATTCCTAGATGTTTGAGGCAAAAATAGTTGTAAGATGCGTTTTGCCTTTTTTCTCAATTGTGTCTCAATCCAAGTAAGCTAAGGTGCAATTATGTTGGCAGTCGGATGCCAGCATCGCACATTTGATGAGGCGTTGCCTTCCGATCTTTGGATGATTGACGGACACCAGCAATATTGGAAACTGTGCTATCAATGCCCCTTGCTGCCCCCCGTGAATTGGCCTATTGGCCCTTGCTGTCCGCGAATATGACAGCAAATGTATCCCAAAGTACTTCAAGATGCCGGGGCTTGATCCAGCTCTTCCGATGCCGCTTGGATGTTCCAGAAAAGCTGCTAGTTCTATCTAGTTCCTTCGTTTCACTGTACTCTGGTGTTAGTGGTTGCAACATGTTGCAACCAGAGAAGCCATTGGCAACATGTCCAGGATGAATGCACCGTTCGTCAGCACTAGGTTTTTCCTTTGCTTCTGAGTGCGTAACGTGTAAGCACGAACGCCAGGTGGCGCAAGAGTTCAACGCTCCTGCATCTCAGCTACTAGCCCTCTTCAACAAGGTGTGAGATTTCTTGGGTGGAGACTGAGACCCAAACAGCCTCAAGACCCTCTTTTTGGCCTTTGACATGGGTCAAAACAACGCACATCATCCTGATTAAGCAGGGACACAACAAAGTCTGATCACATCTGATCATAATATGTCAGAGTAAGGCATGTTTGGAAACAGACACAAATCATGTCCTCCAAATGGACGTCGTGTTCAGAATCGATCGTCGCCAGGCCATGCACAAGTTGTCGAACCATTGCAAAGCGTTGCTGGAGCGACAAGTTGAGGAGGAGGGTGAAGCTGAAGGCTTGTCAGAAACTCAGCAAGACACGTCAGGCATGAAATAGCACCGGTTCATAGCCTGGCCCTTGAATGACTCAAAAATTGCGGTTGATGGGCATGCATAGTCATTGGTCACTATTAAAACACTACAAAGTTGATTGATGTTCAATACATACTCATACATAATATAACTTCAGCATAGCTATTTACTAAACACATCGGATGAGAACCCTTGTTTTGCATCCGGTTGTCGTTTTCTGAGGGGAGGCCGAGCCATGAAGTCGGGCGAGGTGAGCTTTTTGGCCCCCGCTCCGGGCGGGCTTTGCTTGGATGTGTCAGAATTGAAGATTATATAGGATTGTATCGTAAAGATCCGAAGAAACAATGTTGTGTCCCTTTCATGTCCTTTGATCCTGTTTGTTGCTGTTTTTCGTGGTTCTTCTTGAGTGTCTAGCTTGCTTTTTTGGTGTAACGTTGGTTGCACCAGGATATTCATAAATCGAAGAAGAAAGTAGACAAATGAAAGGTGTCAAAACTTCAGCGCCCCTAGTAGTCAAGTTTGTTGATTGTATTTAGTCAAATTTATGTTCAAAATCATGTGTTTCCATGAAAGGGGTGTGTTTGCGTGTGCGTGTGTGGCGGCGGGGTTAATACTTTCCTGCCTTTTTATCTTTTTGCAACAAGCGGCTGCACTGTGCTTTGGAAGTGCTGGACAGGTGGTGGAGGGTGGAGCTTTCGTCAAAGACTCCCTCAAGCAACTGAGCAAGGAATCAGACCTGCAAGCATCAGCAATCTTGACACGGGTTGCCACAGTGAGTCCCTTGGTGCAGTCGACCGTTTATAGTCGGGGTACTTGTCCATGTTCAGTTCTTCTCATCAAAGAAGGTGCGGTGCTCCTAGTAGAAATGGCCACCCTAGTAGCGTCCTTGCTTAAACGTGTTTCAGCACTAGTCACAAAGACCTCAGTCCAAAACCGAGCTCTCACGTTTTTGGGGGCTGTACAGGTCAAGAATTCGATGCACATTGCCAATCTGCAATCTCCAATGTATGGGTTGACTGAAATAGTTGCCCCGCTGTGTTCCTCGCACGTCTCCGTGATCATCGCATGCCACCGAAGGCTGTGGTCCGCGCGTCACTCAGGTCGGACCAAAAGGCAGCTGGTCAAAAGGCTTGATACTTTCAATGTTTTCGATTTGGGGAAGGTCAGAGTGCTTTTGTTGAATTGGGTGTCTCTAGCTGAAACGGAGAGATCCACACCGGTCAGCTTCATGGGTCCCTTTTCCTGTGCTGAGCTTGCTTGCGCTTGATAGATTCTTCGATCAGGCATGTGGAGTAGTCTGAACTTGTTGGCCTGGACAGGTTGCGTTGTGCAATCACATACCGTACTAAAGTCCTTCCGTCGGAAATGTCCTGTCTCAAAAGCTTTCTGCTCGTAAGCTTCTAAACTGCCCCTCGTTGTATATTGCTGGGTTCTTGACAAAGAATGGAATGATTGGAATGTAGTCCTTTGATACTCGCAGCTTGGCAAAGATGTTCAATGAAGACCACATGGCTGTGAGAAGCTCGATTGGCCTCGACTGCTGTTGTCCGAGCAATTTTGTAAGTCTATCAGCTAAGGCTAGTACTTTTCTTGGGTGTTTTTTGGAGCAGGTCAACAAGAAGTTGGAAGAGAAGCGGAAAGAATTGTCGGCTCCTGAGCAACCTGCAAAATACACGCCGTATGCTGATGTCATGATTGTCTTCCATCCATTCTGTCCATGCTTTTCCAGTTCCATCCGCAGCAAGTTCTCAAGGATCTCCACGCTGACAGATGAGAGGTTTGCGATAGCACCAAGCACAGAGGACTGCAAGAGCTACACAGTATTGCTACACATGTCATTACCCAGGGGTACACTTTGGCAAAAGATTGCAAAAGGTCCTTAAGCGGTTGGATGTAAGCTGCGCTTGCCTCTGATCGAAAGGACTTTGCCGAAGCGTTGCAAGGCACCGCACCGACAGGCAAGTTTTGGGATGCAAAATTGATTGACAAATTACAATGACTACGTATACAAGTAAGTAATTCCAAAGTCGTTCAAAGTAGCATGAGGACTCTTCATATTGAGCTTCCCAAATGCAAAGCAGCTCTTTAAAGGACGGATTTGAGCATTACTGACAGATGTTCCATGAACGCTTCTGCAGCATTGATCGAATTGTAGTCCATCCATTGCATCGGCAACTGCACCAGAGTGATCATCCAAGCGCGGAAAACGGCAAGGAAAACGTGCACTTGGGGCATGGACGGGCGATGGGTGTCTATTCTAGTTTGCCTTTTTCGTTGTGGCTGAACCGAAACCAAAAGCCCCGATCTGCAACGCCTGCATCATCCGCAAGACAAACAGGAGGCGTGGTGTCGGTGAAGAAAAAGAGGCAAAATGACAGCGACCAAGCTCAATCAGGCCGCTTGGCTTCAGAGTCTTAGAGATTGAGATTGGCTTCAGTGATATTATTGCTGTTGGAACAAATCGTGCTCCACATGCCCTCACACCTCTTTGGCTTGTTTGATCTTGTTTGCATTGTTTTCAGAAAAAGACGTGACCCAAGTAGAAGTGGCTGGTGTCGCATGTCGCAGGCAAGAAGCGAAAGTCGGGCTAAGTCAATCGTCACTTCACCCAGGAACCTGGGTGTGTGCTGAGATTCAACCTTGCAATAAAGGAGTGAGGTAGGAAATATAGTAGTATGATGTAGTATGGTTTTGGATGCATGAATGTTTATGGACACATATTGCTCACGTGGCAAGCTGAAGTTGTGCAATGTGTTCTGTCGCTGTTTGAGGTTCTTTAGCTCTGGGCATGAAGGGTCAAATGATCCCAAATGCCCTGTTAACGCCCGTGTGGACCGAAAAATGTTGAGAGTGCATGTCCAGGCAGCTTTCTGAAGGGAAAGAAAGGCAACGCCAATGAACCACTGCTGCAGAACCAAGTAGTTGATGTTGAGGGAAGCAGCCATTTTCTGCGGGACTCATTTACTGTATGTTTGACTGTTGACCCTTTAAATGTGTGAAACCAGTTGATCACGTTAGGATGGAAACCAGCCTCTCTCACACTTCTCATGTCGTG